CCTATGGAATAAATGTTTCTACAGCCCCGAACAGCAACAAGCTTTTGCTCCATTCCATGATGGTGAATGTCTGTTTTAATAACGACTGCTTTATTTCAAACATATGCACCAAAGGTCACAGAGGGCGTTACTGTTCTGGTACATCTTTTCTTTACTCAGATGATTTCACAGAAGAGCTCCTCAATCTACATGAGGCTAAGATCACGACCTTGAAGAAGTGTTATGAGGACCACAAAGATCTCTTTGAGGGAGTCACTAAATGGCAGGACAACTGGACGTTGTACTTGGAGCTTGACGTGAGTGCTGTCTAAGTTTTTTGTGGAAGCTTTTAAAATGCTTATCTCTGGGCATGGTGACATGTGGCTGTATGCTTCCCCTTTTAGAAAAAGGCTAATGACCCTTCAAGATTCAACAACAGGGGTGGGAACCTTCTGAAAGAAGAGAAGCAGAGAACTGACCTGCAGAAAAGTTTGCCTAAGGTGAGAATTTCTATGCTGCTTCAGTAAAAATAGCATTACTGTAAGCAGATGCCAGCCTGTAAGATATTCTCTTAGAAGACATTTCAAAGATGTCATATTGGATGAATTGGCAAATAAAAGGAGATGAAGAAAAACTCCATTGCTGTATTGCAGGTTTTGTCCAACAGATGGGGATATTAAATGACTGTCACTCTCTGGTTCAGGTGCATATGTCTGTTCATCAAAAGCATTTCAGAAATTGATGTAATCTGAAAGTCCACTGTCAGTGCAGAAGCTGTTAAAAGGGAATCGGCTGAGCTCTACTAATCCAAAAATGCGCATTTTGCTGTTCAAAATGGGCTTTATTTAGATAGCCTAGTCAGGGGGCACATGCAGCAAAGGGCCTCTGGTGGGTGGCCCTGCATTTCTGCCTTGCAATCTATGGTCAACTGTATATCGTGTGAGTTCAACTGCTTTGGGATTTTCTCTGGAAAAAGAACAGTTCAGAGCAAATGATTAAATGCTCAAAATTACTCTGACATTATGTCCGTGATGACTGGATGTAATCTTTCCTACCTTACTTCAGGCCCACACGGTCTTTAAAAAACCAGTTGAGTGCAGTTTGAAGCCTTGAGTTTTGGCTCACAGGGATTTTTCTCACATTAGACTCCCTCCTCATTATTAAGTATTGGTATTGTTTCACAGTGGTGTCTGTTTGTTTTTTAAAGTGTACATATAAGAGAAGTAAGTGTAATAAGGCCCCTTTTTGTGACAACATAAAAACTTATGCTTGTTTTCAGTTGGAAAAGAGTCTGAAAGCCCAAATCGACGTTTGGGAGCAGGAGCATGGCAAAGATTTTCTGGTGAATGGACAGAAATTCCTCGATTATGTGCAGCAGCAGTGGGATCAACACCACAATGAAAAGGAGAAGGAGAAGCTTGAAAGGGTATGTGAGGTTATTGCTGTGGCACACTCTGTCGTGACTTTCACTTCCCTGTAGCAGTAGTTTTGCCAGTGCATTTTTTTTTTTTCTTTAAATGCATTGTTCTTTGGAAAATAGCAAATGAAGAAAACTAAGCAGATGCAAGAGGAAATGCTGTATGGAACGATGGTGAAAACCCCGTCTAAAAGGCGGATAGGAGGGACTCCAACACCTGGAAAAATGAAAAAGGTAAATGGGTAGATATTTCTGTGGTTTTTCTCAATCAATCAAAGCTTTATTCGTCACATGCAGGTTGCCCTGCAGTGAAATGGGACCCCCCCGACCTTACACATATAGCACAAACATTACATGGGGATACAGGTCGGAGATTGGTAGAATCAGAGAAAAAAACATTGAAATGTACACTACAGTGGGGAAAGTACAAGAGGGGAAAAAAGAGACCCCTACTCATGCTGTGCTTCCATGGTAGGACAGCATGAGAACAGGAAACAAAAAAAACTCCTCTGCATGGGATGGGAAGAATAGCCGTAACACAGTCGTTATCAGGGAGTGATTGTTCGGCTCCAGCCTTGGGCCTGCAGCTGGTGCCGTGATGGGGATCCGCAATGTTCATGTTGATTTTGTTAATTTCCATGCGAGCAGCCCAGGAGAATTTTCAGGCTGCTCTTTAACACTCCGACGCTGGTCTCTCAATCTCCCGTTGGAGAGTCGCGAGCCTCCCCATGATGGTATCAAACTTCTGTTCCATGGTGTTATCATTCTTTTGATTCTGAGACCTCACAACTGCAGTGATCCGTTCCGCGATGTTTTCCAACTGTCACTCAAGGGTCTCATTTTGAGCAGGCCTCTCTCTGATGTTTCCCCCCATACGCTCAATGGTGTTGTTTGAGCCTTCACAGCAGCTGCAAGCGTCTCCAAGGTGTTGACCATATTACGTTCGTTGTGAGAGGTTGCGCCTCGTTCCATTTCGATTCCAGCGGGCAGCCTTGGGGGGGGTTTGAACAGCCGGTTCCGCTCTCTTATTTCTCCAATAAACCAGGGCTAAGCCAACTCCGATCAGCATGAACCCTGTTATCACGGTTCCGAATAGATGGATATCTTCAGCGTCCTCGATAGACAGTCCCGCCAGGCACATGATCCTCCAGTTCTGCCACCCGTCCATCGTGTATCCGGCAGGGAAAGTCCCTCCAGGGCACTCAGGCTCTCCCGAGCCCAGATTTCTCGTTGAGAAAAGGGTGTCAATAGCATTCAGAGACCAGTTGATCAAATCCATAATTCTCTTTTAGGTTTTAGAGAACGACAGTGTGAGGCTATTCCAGGGAAAGTAATGCACACAAGACAAGGACATAGGCTAAGTAGGGAAGATAAGGGTGAGGAGGAGAGGAGAAAAGTGCGACCGCCTTCGCTGAGAGCTGAAGAAGAAAAATATTTCTGTGGTTTTTCTGTAACTGTGTTAATGTCAAACGTGAGCACTGACTGAAACGCCTGTGTGCCCTGTCCACTCAGCTCAATGGCACCTCAACTTTCTCCACTCCAACCAGCTTCCTGAGTTCAGGCCTCAGTGGGACCATGTGCCTGTCGTCCACCCAGAAACCACCGTTGTCTGCTAGCAAGGTATTGTGCTTCATGTTGTTTTTGACAGTCAAACCATCAGGATTAGATTGGCTTGTTCAGTATCTTAGACAGGTTTGATCATCATTATTTTCATATTGAAATGGTAAAACCTCTTACATTAGTTTGTATCTAGACTCAATGTTGGTCAACGTTTGAGTTTAGTGTGCTCTGAATATGATGCAGACGTTGACACTGATAATCATTCTACCCAACTAGTCAAGTCCAGTGTCGTTAACTAAGATAAATATACATAATATCAAATGCATTATTTTGTATGTCAAGATATTGGACACGGTGAAAGTGCTCATCTGTCATAATGTCCTATATAGTCTTTAAAATGAAAGGGCTTGCCAAAACACATCATCATTCTAGTTGGTCTCATTGTAGGGTCTTGGCCTGCGAACCCCTGGACATGGAAAGGCACCCCGTGCGCTAGAGCGAAACAAGGAAAATATCTCCCACCTTAATAGAAACACTCCAAGTGGCACACCACTAAGGTCTCAGGATACTCAAGATCACACCTTCACCTTTAACTCTATTGCTGGCTCCTATTCGGAATTTGCGGTAAATGGGGTTTTTACATCTGTTTAGTCAACTCAGTGGTAAAGATTATTGTAAGACTAAACATTTGGCTCACAGTTTAAGTTTACCACCAAATGTACAACTTATTTAATTTCTTGCTATGTGGGTGTACATGTATTTTATAATGCAGATGAAATTCCCACATTATGCAGTTGTGATGCAAAGAAAAAGCTACAAAAATCATTTATAACATGATGACAAGACTTTAAGAAACAAAGCTGTCTGCCATCTTTTAATGTTTGAATACATTTATTCCAAATTTCGTCATACAGTCAGCAGTAATTAATATATAGAAAATGTTGATTATTTGTATTGAGATTTACACGAACCACCACCTTTTACATATAAGTATACATATAGTGTTTGACACATCCACTGGGAGAGCGGGCAGGGGGATTGCGTCAGAAGGGGCAGCCGGCATACAATCAAAGTTACTGATTCATCCACTGAGGCAACCCCGTGTTAATAAAGGGACAGCCAAAAGAATCTGTCTACAATGAATGTATAAATTTAAAAAGTCAAAGTACACTAGGTCTTATGAAAAAAATATTGAAATGGCTACGGCCCTGTGCTATAACTAATAAATCAAAAAAAAAAAAAAAAAAATCCTGTCATGCCAAAGTTTCAATGACTTATTTGTCTGAGCTGCAGCTAAAACTTTCCACCACATGACTCAAATCTGGTCATCATGAGGTTAAAGGTTTCCAAAGTGAATACATCTACTTAATTTGTCATGTGAGAAAACCATGTTGATACACAAATATTTTACCTTTGATCTCTTTTTTTTTTCTTCTTTTTTTTTTTTTAAATATGAAAACATTAATTTGGACTGTTTCTTACAGAGGGACCTCACGAAGTCTTCTAAATCGAATGTAAAGTCAGGACTGCTGAACTCGACTGTCAGTCATCAGTGATGGTTCAACAGAGCTGCTCTGGCACAGAGGGTCGCCCACCTCAGGGGTAGTTTGGTGACACAATGAACAAGAGGGAACTTCTTACAAAAAACTGTAAATATTTTGTCAACATTTCTCTTTATTAGAATTTTTTCCAGGGTTTCCTCTGCTCTTTGCATTTCTCTGGCATTTTAAAAGTTTTACGATGTCTTTTTATTTGATCCTATTTTGGCTTAGATTAAATATTATCTGTTATCTACGGCACTACTGTTTTACTAAATTGGAAAGTGGCACCATGATTTTCTTTTTCGAGCTGGATTGACAGCTAATTTTGCTTATCAGAAACCAAACATAGGGTGGTTTTATTCTTTTCTTTAACCTGTAAATAAACGTTTTAAAAGCAGTTTGTTCTCTGTGGCTATTATTTTCCCATCATTCCTGCCCCTAATTTTTCAGCTGAACATGGTTTTACTTCAGCTGAGTGTAAGCCAAAACGCAGTATTTGATTTCAGCCAGAGGTAAATCCTTGCCAGAGTTATCATTGTAATTGTAAAGTATTGTTCTTTCTATAAAACTATAGGTAGGGGACTGGTCTGGAGGAACTGAGCTCTCACGAGTGCTCTTCTAGTGAGTGGATGTAAAAGTCCTTCCCTTCTTTTCACTGGAAATGTGATGACTTATTTAAGCCATGCGTGTCATGAGCTCCTCAAGAGCCCTCTCACGGTGATTTTCATTAACAAGCAGCACTTCTTTGATTGCGCTTTGCTGGAAGCCCATCTCGTTAAACTGAGCCAACAGGCGTAGGAACTCAGCAGCCTGGAAAAAGAAGATATTGTTTTGCTCCTTCACGTCAAGGTACAATAGTGTGTGACAGGTGCTGACTTGGAAAAACTGGATTTACCTTGCTTTCACAGTTCTGAAACATCTCCAAAGCCTCTTCCACCTGTGCTTGGTCATAACCCAGCTGACACAGACGATCACAGGTAACCAGATATTTTAACACCTGTCGATAGCAGAAAAAGCATGAATTTTATCCATTTCTGTGTACAATTTTATGAAGTCTATTCATTAACGTTTGGGAATGTGAATACAGGATATAGCTTGACCTACATACTATTCCTTTACAGATGTGTTTTATGTTTACCGGTAATGCATTAGAAAAACATTGGTTTGCCAAGTATTGCAAATTAGGTGAGGGATAATTGTGATTGCTGTATTTTCTTTAACCTCTTCTGATGCCATTACTTTTTTTTTTTTTTTTTTTTTAAGTATGTGTGTATTGGTTTTTAAATACTTAAAAAACGCATTTATACAAAACAAACAGGCCATTGGTGGCGGCTCAGAAAAAGCATTACTTGAGTTATAAGTATTCATAGTACAATGTGATATTGTTAATCCACAGGACAATGGATAGAATAAAGATTTATTTTGATCACCAATTTCATGGTGATTGGTTCCCCAGGAGTTCCCTATTTAATGCCTTGGTGGAAAAACTCAAATTAGTTACCCCAAAACGTCTATAAACTGTTACTGTAACTTGTTGAACTCATTAGATAGGGTTCCTTGCTCTGTTCAAAAATTTACACACAGAGGTGAAGTGCCTTTGAATATTTTACTTAATCTAATTGGATAGAAGTATGGACAGCTTTGAATTGAGGTGTGCTGAGCATTTATAGAGATACTGTGAATGTTTACCAATCCAGTTTTACATGCCAATCTGCCTGGAATGACTGAGGATGGATCATTTACATTTGGTTGGATGCTGTAGAGTTGAGACACAGCTCATTTGGAAAATAGCTTAATTTTCAGGAGACCATCCAAGACCGCGTGGCTGGGCTTCTGTTCATCTTTAAAAAGGATACATGTCTCAAGTTTGCGCACGTCTTTCAGTTTTTCAATGGAAAGCTTGAATGTCTTCTGTAATTTTTGGAAAGGGGCAAGCTAGCCCTCTATAGATGTCTCCCAACTAACTTATACCCTTCTGCCTCCAGATTTTAAACACACAGTCCTCCAAACCTGGACTGAATGATTGATTGAAGCATATTGGGGACTCGACATATACCTTGGGGCCTTTCAGTAGTAAGAGCACCTGAGGCCAGACTTGATGCCCAGTGTCTTTAATTAAAATACAATAGCATATATCTTATCCCACCACTCATAACTGTGATGCTGGGCTAACAAAGAGACAGATACCATTCATGCTCACTTTCACACCTATGGCCAATTTAGATTCACATATTAACCCAACATGCAGGTATTTGGACTGTGCAAAGAAGCCAGAGAACCCACACAGGCAGGAGAACATGTAAACTCAACACAAAAGGCTCCAGCTGGCTAGTAGATTTGAACCTTCTTGGTGCTAACTACTGTATCACTGTGCCGCTCTATCCTAAAAGTTTTAATTTCGAGTCAGAATTTACTCAGTCAGACTTAAGAGTTCACAGTTTCGTAGAAAAATGCAATCATTAAACGGCATGTTCTAGCCCCAGTGTGTTACGTACCTTTTCAGGGCTCCTATAGCCTGTCTTCTGCAGCGCCAGAATAGCTGTTCTTAAAGGGTAGCCTTTCTCAGTGATTGTTTCAAGTAACTCTCTCTCTTCCTGGCTGAGGGCTGTCAAAAGCTCTGCTGCACAGTCAAAGAAAACCCCCCGAGACACACCGCTCGTCAGAACCTGATGATGACAAGGGAAGACCAGGCACAAATAATAGAAAACAGCTTTACCTGCTTCAAGTATTATATTGTTATGTGACGCTCTCAGAAAAACCAACCTTCTTTCTGCGGTTTTTTAAAACAGGCCCTGCAGAGGAGGGTCGTTGTTGCTGCCTCGGTGGGGAAGGTCCAGCGGGTGGTGTGTTTTGGGAGAACTTCCTGCCTGAAGAGCGCTGCCTCTTCTTGATGTTCCTCTGGCCCTGAGGGAGCGGGCTGGCTTGCTGTGATCTGTGCTGCTCGAGCACACGCAGAGGCTGTCTGCACTCTTGGGGAGAAGACGTGCCCCTGTGACCTCTGAAACACTGAGCTGAGCCAGTCTTACAGTTGTGAGGGGAAGCAACAAAGTGCATGTCTTTGACTCTGGAGATTGGGCCTTTGAGTGAAGCGCTCCGGGGCCGCTCCCTGCAATTGATGAGGTGAGGGGCATCTTCAGTAGAGGACATTTCATTGTCCTCATGATAACCATCTTCATCATCAGAGTCAGATACGAGGAACTTGACGGTGCGATGGCGCAGCCAGTGAGCGTCTGCAGAGTTCAAGCTGTGGCTGCGGGGCCGAGGGTTGGGGACCCACTGATCGCTGCTCCTGGGAGTGACTCTGTGACTCTCCTTAGGGCTGCTGAACATCAACCAGTAAGGTGGGCAGGATGGAGCCTGGCAGACTGGCTGCTGGCCAGTTAAAATCCATCTCTCCAGGTTGAATCCGTACTGCAGAAAAATTATAAAGATTTGGAGCATTAGCCTTTTCCACAGCTGACATTTACAGGTGTGGAGGTTACTAAAAACCGTAATAACTGTGTAGTATTCAAGTGTGGACATGACCCTAAATATACAAATTTTATCATACAACCTGTGCTTTTCTTCCAGGGGAAAAAGACCTATACCAGTAATGTTAATAAGGTGCAATAAAAACCATTTTCAACTTCACAGTAAAAGCCCAATCTAGCTTTTTTATTTGAACTTAATCCTTCATTACAGTGTGCATATTGTTTCAGGAGAACATTGTCTTCAGCACTGTTTAAACTCTTATTAGAATCTGTAACTTCAGAAGTGCATTAAAATGAAGAAAAAAAAAAAAAGCTTTGCTAAACTCCAAAACTCAAACCCTGGATTTTAAAGTAATTAAACTGAGAAAGTAAAATTGCAAGCAGATACTGAACAAGAAAGAACACACAGGCTCTATATTGAGAAATTTTTTTGAAATGTTTTTTTAATGTTTGACCTCAGTTTCCTTCATTATCTGTCGGCAGTCTGGTAGAGTAATGTCCGGAGCAGGCAACAGCTGCATTTCTTCCTCCAGTGGACCCAGCTCGGTCTGAAACGGGACATCTTCCAGCATGTTCATCACCACCAAAATGTTTCAAATCACCAACCTGCATCAGAAGACATGAAGATCTCCTGTATCTTCAGCTTTAAGTTTTAAAAGAAAGTTTTACCTTTTGACATTTTTACCTTGGTCAGATATGTTCTTCCAGGTCCACGGTCCTCTGAAACAATCGGCAAGTGTTTGGAGTAAATGACTCACAGACAGCAGACGCGATAAACCCCTTCGCCACTAAGCCTCTGACATCATTGAGTTTGTTTACCAATACCTCAGGTGCCTGCTTTAACCTCCTAAGACCCGAACTCTTAAACGGCATGCATTTTTAATTTCTCTTTGATATTTGGGCATATTAGGGCCCGATGAATGTAAAAACAAAGAATTACCAGATTTTCTTTTTTTTTAACCTTATTTTTGTTTTTAGAAAAATAAGAGCCACAAATGAAGATATTCGTTTAAAATTTTAGAACAGTAGCAGTATAATGTCCTCGTAAGTGGATATCAGGCCCTTGTAGAGCAAAATTGAGTATGTTGGTCTAAATAACCCAAAATGTGATGTCCACATATGTGGACGCCAGGTCCTAGGAGGTTAATCCCACAGTCATACAGCCATTAGAAATATATCAAACAAACATATCAAAATTAAACCATGTAACACCAAAACATATTATACATATTATATTTTGAAAAACAAATACAGTTGTCTAACATTTATAAGTATTATTATTAAAACTTCACTATTTTATCCCTTTCAGCAGATTGTATCATTTTCCATCTGTATTCAAGGCCACACTAAAGACTTTGTACGGACACTTTGACTTTCCTGTGTACTAGGAGGAGGATTAGGGAAATGCTGAGGTATCAGGAAACAAAGCACAGCACAATACTTTCCAGAGATTAGCTGATTACATAAAGGTGACAGCCTAACAGTGCATCGCAACATTGTGATGTCTGTTGCATTCATTTATTCGCACCTCAAACTTAAATGAGAATGAAAGAACAATTAAAAAAATTGTACCGAGATATACATTTTATTTGTACACTTTAAACAATCACAATAAATTTAAGATTCACAATATTTTGGGGGTAGGGGGGGTACAGGTTCTGTAACAGACCTCTGAAAACTTTAGTAAAATAAAATGAAGCTTCAAGCAAAGGGGGGAACAAATCTAGTTTAATCTAGTTTGAAAGCACAAACAGCATTTTAAAGACAGCAGCAGCATGGTTCAGTCAGAGCATTTAAGTAGAGGCTTGATTACAGACGTGTACTGAGGTACCATTTAGTAACAGGATATTACATCACTAAAGGTAAGGTGAGCTTCCAACAACCAACCAGGCAACCACAAGGAAAATAAAAAATATCCATGCTGCTCTGAGGGGTGTTTGACAATGCAGGTTTGGAGAGGCAGCCAGCATTAACAGGAAAGAGAGCATCTGAACACGGTTCAGTTTTTATAAAACAAAACTTCAGAAGCTATTTCACTGATACTTCAAAGTGACCCGGCTAACCAGCTTTGTGAAACAGCCCTCTGTGAGACAGGTCTGTAAGTAAACACTTATACATTCCCTAAAAAGTGTGCTAAAGGAGGAAGCCAAAAACTGAAAATAACCATTCTGGCTGTTTAAAAGGTCACCATTGTGTCTCACCTGCTGTAATTAGTGTGCTGGTGCATTATACCTCACAATATGTTTTAATAATTAGAGGTCATGTCATACAAACTGCTTACAAATGCTACCTAAGCAGCGTGCCTAAACATTTACAGCTGATTTCACTGTGAGCACCATTATTACAATGGTGGTAAAGGAAAAAGAAAACATCCAAAATATTGATGTGCTCATGGAATATGATGCCCTGATGAGGCATCAGCTAACATGTTAACATCATATCGGGTCTTTCTTTTCTCAGCATCCCATGTTTGCAAGTGTACAGTATGATCCCATAATTTCCATTTGCTTCCCTTGCCATTACAACCCCTCACTACAAAAAGGAAAAACAAACTAGCTACAAATATTTCCATGAATAAAATTTCATTATCTTTATATAGATAAAATGTTAACAATCCCCAGAGATTGAAATATTTTAAGGTCCACCCTGTGAGTGCACCACTATAGAATCTACATCTGATGCACAGGACCCAAGGCTGTTACACTCTCTTAACTTCATCACAAAAACCCTCCCCACCAGTGTCCACAGCTTATTCGTCAGGGGCTTTAATAAAAGAGTTGGTACCAAACTTGGTATCCAAAAGGTTCATAGTGATCTAATGATTTGCGACAGCGTGGCCTTTAGGGTAAAATGGTTCAGTTGTTAGCAGCGTCTGCCTGCCTAGGCCAGTTGTCCTCCTCGATGCCAGAGTCGTATTCCTCTTCTGCCGAATCCTTGGCAGGAGTTCTGAAATTCAAATAAAGGATGCAGGTCGAGTTTCAGTTACTGAGTCGCCATGTACTCTGTGTAAGAAAACTGATCTCTAGCATGACCCATCTACCCCGAAACTGTGAGGAGAGGTACTGACCTGACATATCTGGGTTGGGATTTTCCTTGGACAACATCTTTGTCCAGCTCAACAGCCATGATGTCAGAGTGGGGCACCTCAAACATGGGCTCAAGGAGGAGTTTTTCCTGTGCATAAAGACAAGTTTTCACTTTACACCACACCACAACAAAAAAAATAAAAACCTAAGTTTGGCACCTTCTGTAAAAATCACATACCATGATGGATCTGAGGCCACGAGCTCCAGTTTTCCTCTCCAAAGCCATTCTTGCTATTGCCCTCAAGGCATCCTGAGTCACATTGAGATCACACTGAAACAACAGATATTGACCATTTAATTTTAATTCTAAAAATCAAGTCATTTAAGTCACAAACACAAATGTATTATGTTTCTGTACATTGATCTAACAAAAGAAATAGAGGCTGTGTTTAGAGAGACATGATTTTTTGGTACCAGTGAAACAAGAAAGTACATGCATCAGATTACTCTCTGGAAAGTGTTTGTATTATAAATAAAAGGACTGTGTGCAGATATTTGAGAGGACACTGCTGTATTTTGACTCAAGAAAACCTTACTGTGCAAACACAGCAGCCCAAATATGAGAATGTCTACCTCCACCACCCACACAGCGTTGCAGCAACTACAATATTAGAACTCCTACTTTGTCCATGCTGAACAGAGCCTGGTACTGGGGCACTACAGCATTGCGTGGTTCAGTCAAGATCCGGACAAGCGTGTCTTCATCCAAGCTGTGCAGAGGAACGATAACGGGAAGACGGCCAACAAACTCTGGGATCATTCCAAACTCAATTAGATCCCTGGCCTCGACGTGCTTCAGCAGCCTGTCCTTCTCCTCGATCTCTGCTACGGTGTCTGTCTCGCCGCTGGTATTTGCCAGATCTGCAGCAGCAGCTGCGCGGCGCCCTTTCCCCAGGTTAGAGGGAGTTCCAAAACCCAAATACTGGACAGATATGAAACACAAGGAACATTTTAAAGGCAGGAATAACAAACAGGCTGAACACCTGCTGGCGTGCAATACATCTGAGCCTTGTCAAGTTTACCTTTTCATTCTTTCTTCTGCTAATGATTCTGTCAAGTCCATTAAAGGCACCAGATGCAACAAAGAGTATGTTTGTTGTGTCGACCTGCACAGTTTCTCCTCTCAGTTTCCTGGAGTTTTTCTCAGGAACGTTGACAACTGTACCCTCCAGAAGTTTAAGTAAACCCTGACAGAGCAGAAAAAGTGAATGTAAGTCTCAGTTGACCAATACAGAATGAAAAGGACAACAAACAGAAAACCGCAAGGTCATAAATGTAAACAAAATCTGTCTGTGTTCGCACAAAACAAACCAAAAAAAAAAACCTGGACTGTCCTAAAACTTTAACAAGGAGGAATAAATCGAACATATGATCTCTAAATTAAATAAAAGTATAATCAAAAATAATTTGTTGCAGCCTTTAAACAAACTGCTGCATAAAGATTGCACACTAACCTGCTGAACTCCCTCACCACCCACATCTCTCAGCTGATGGATTCCAGGAACACTGCCAATCTTGTCAACCTCATCCAGAAACACAATACCTGCACATGAAACAGGAGAACAAAGCTTAATGTCTTACAAAGACACTGCCTGAGACACTTCTTGTCTTTGATGAGCTTTCTGTGGATAACTGCTTAGTATTTTCTTCCAATTTCATGCTTTCTGGTGCATACACCTCACCAGTATTCATGCTGAAAGCTTGGAAACATGCAGTGCAGAGTACAGTGCATGTGTAAGCTAACTTGTTAATTTAACCTGAAATCCAATTAATTTAAACCTGTTCCTCTTCTTGTCAGTATATTCAACATAGTAAAGCCATAAACACATTCTTTAGCACAGTAAAGGATGCAACATGAAAAAAAGCATTCTAGTTTTTAGATGTGTTGTAGCAGAGTAATTCAGTAATGTATATGAAAATGAAACAGCATTAATCTTCTCAATGATTAAGCTTCACAAAGTGATTTTCCATACAAGAGTCCTATGGTACCATTTTAATTTGTTTATACTCTAATCTTATCTACTCCCAGTCCTCTAATCTAATTACTACTGAGTTTTGGTCTCGCAGTTGAGGCCTTGTTTTTATAAAATACCACTGTGATTGCTTTCTTTTAGGGTCACCATAAATGAATCTGTAAATAATCAGGTACATTCATTTGTACAACAATGGTTTGTATGGTAAACATTGTGACATTCAAATATTTTCTCATTAATCCAACACTTGTCTTAATTTTAGGTAATGATTTGAGACTTCCTATATCAAATGAAATATTATTATTAATTGCATGTTAACATTAAAGAAACAGTTGGGTGGATGTGAGGGGGAGGAACGAGATTATGTTTGTGTTAGATACTGCTGGTGCTTGCTGCTTGTGCTCAGTGTTTTCAAAACAGGCAGTTTCTTACTTAGTAAACATACGTATCATTCTGACACTGGAAACTCCTTCTGTAAATAAAGTCCCTCTGCCCACCTTGCTGTGCTTTTTCCACTGAGTAGTTGGCATCTTGCAGGAGTTTGGCAATAACCGACTCGATGTCCTCTCCCACGTATCCAGCTTGAGTTAGTGTGGTGCAGTCGCAAATTGCAAATGGAACATCCAGACAACGTGCCAGTGTCTGCGCCAACAATGTCTTTCCTGTGAAAATTTATGTGAATCATAAAATTGTCTGGAGAAGGACATAATACAAACACAT